TTTCCATTCGAATTTTTTGTCATAATTCAATTTATTTTATTTTTTTTTTATGTGTGTTAGAGATGATTTTTTATTAAGCCTAATTTATTTATTTTGTATTTTTATAATTTATTATTTATTATTTATTATTTATGATTTCAATAAGTCAATCATTTTCATTCGAATATTTTAATCATAATTTTGACTGTATTTTGAAATAATCATTTAAACTTGCTTTTCTAAGAAGACTCATTTTAAATTATTAAAAATAAATACATAATCCAACTAATAATAATAATAATATAAAATAGATAAACAAATCTATCGGAAATGAATTTTTGTGCGAAAGAAATAAGTGAAATTAATATTGATAAAACTAACCTAATCGAAAGTGCTATTTCATACGCAAAACACGTTCTAATATTTTTTTAATGAATCCCGATTACGAGAAAGTTTAATTTCAAGTTAAAGATGCACATACAAAATAAAAAATATAAAAAATAAAAAGAAAATATTCGGAAAAGTTTATAATTTATGAGATTTAAACGATGTAACCAACAGAAAGTAAAATGGCATACAGTATATGTGTATATATATATGGTTTCGTTGAAATTAGGTCAAGGTTTCCTTATTAGTCGTTTTACATCGAAAGCCACGCGTCGTTGAATCCATCTTTAAATGATTGCCATAAGTTCGAATTAAAAGATTGGTTTAAGAAGACCTTCGAAACGTCCGGTTAATAAATGCAAAGAAAACATAACCTCTCTAATCAACGTTTTTCTTATTTTTCTTTTTTGAAATAATTACTACGAAGAATTAAATAGAAGAAAAAAATGATTGTTGTTTGAAAAATATTTTTTAATAGAAAAAAAAAAAGAAAAAAATATATTGTTAATTATATAGCACTTAGGATTATCGATAAAATTTCAATTTATTATTATTTAAATATCATTTTAACTGAGATAATATTTAAATACTTATGGTTGACAATTGCTTCAGTAAATACTTTCTAAAAAAAAAAAAAGAAAAATTCAAATGGAAGTAATTAAGTTGAAAATAAAAAATTAACGATCAAGTATCTTCATAATAAAAATACAAGAATAATAATATTAATAATAATAATAATAATGATGATGATGATGATGATGATGATGATGATGATGATGATGATGATGATGATGATATTATCCACGAGGAAGCGTCGTAGGTTATTTTCTTCTTCTAAAAAAAAAAAAAAAAATAAAATAAAATAAAATTCGTATTACGATCCTTTCCGATTCGTTAAATTTAATCCGAAGGAAAGTTGAAATGGTGGTCGATTTTCGATAAGAATTTCCCCGGAACTTGGATCGATATATTTTTTTTTTTTTAACGACCTCTTTCTCACTCGTAAATCACGCTACAATGAGATTTACTCTTGAATACAAATTTTCAACCTCCACCTTCCCCCCAGCCCCTACCATAAGGAATAAAATATGAGATATTTCTATTTATTTTACATATTTCATGGTACGATAACTTTTGGGTATGTAATAAAATTGCTAAGTGTTGGTTTTGCTGGAAAGAGTGCTTCAAAATCTTATCTTTTGACTTTCAAGAAAGTGAAATTCTATAAATTTATTATTTTAAAATGATTGATTATTCTTGAGCCTCTTACTTTAATTTTGTATTATTTATAATAAAAAGTTAACACTGTTTTGGTATTCAAAAGAATATCTATAGTATATTGTATGTATAAGTAATATAATAAGTATAGTATTATATCTTAATCTTAATATATATAAAAATTATTACTAAATATATTAATATTTACTAAATAAATTATAAATTATAATTAAACTATGGTATCTTTCAAGTTGAATGAAACTGCACACAGTGTGCAAAATTTTATTAAAATCGGTTCAGTAATTTAGGAGTCCATTGCAAATAAACAACGTGACACGTAATTTATATATATTATGATACAGAGTATAATAATAAATAAATAATATAATAATATAATATAATAATAATATAAATAATAATATAAAATAAATAAATATTACAATAATATATTAATTATTATTGAAATAATAAGTAATAAAAGAAAAATATTAAAAAATGACAGATATATATATATGCCATTAATTAAAAAAATTGTCTCTTTTGTAAAATATTTTCCAATGTTGAATTTGTTTTTTCAATCAATTAGAAAAAAAAAAATATGAAAAGTTACAATTTGTTTTTTATTTGTAAGAAATGACAGATGTTTGAAATAAAAAAAAACCCCATGAATGTTTTCAGACTAAATATTTCAGTTTAATATAGTAGTAATTCATATTTTTCTAGTAAGAACGTTTTGTAAATTTCTTTAAATGACGTTTAGTGAAATCATAAATTATCTCGTTTGGAATATATTCAAATTGCGAACTCGCGAATTGTAAATCATTGATTATTGATTTAAATTTAAACTATCCAACGATATGTCATGGATTATTCATGACACGCGATTCGGTTAGGCGGAATACAACATCCGTGACTAAGCAACGATCATAAATGCTTCCTATTTGCTTCACTCGGTTCGCACATGTCCTGTCCTAGATCTTGCTACACTTTTCTAAGCCTTCCTAGAAAACGGAACCAACCCAAATCAAAAACAAAACTCTTATACATTAATAATTCTATCGTATGTCTATTTGATTTTATTTTTATCATTTGAGTTATGATTATTTTTAATTGAAGTGTTTTAGAGTATCAGATAAAATAATTTATTATCAGTTTTATAATTAAAATATTTAGTATTTGTTTTTAATAGAATTTTGCATTTGACAAATTTCAAAATAAAAACAATAATTCAATTATTATTTTATTATTTAATTTATTATATTATATTTGTATATTTTTAATTAAAGTGTTAAGTGAAAGATAAAATAATTTATTAGTTGTTTATTATTAGTTTTATTATTAAAATATTTGGTATTGGTTTTTAATAGAATTTTCCATGTGACAAATCTCAAAAAAAAAAATCAATAATTATATATTATTATTTTATTATTTAATTTATTATATTATATTTGTATATTTTTAATTAAAGTATTAATTAAGAGATAAAATAATTTATTATTAGTTTTATTATAAAAATATTTGGTATTTGTTTCTAACATAATTTGCATGTGACAAATCTAAAAAAAAAAAACCATATTTACATTATTATTTTATTACATTATATATTATTACATATATCTATTATTATTATTATTATATTATTATATTATTATATTATTATATTACATTTATATATTGAGAAACATATATAATATAATAATACATAATAATAATAATACATGCTAGTAAAGTTGCATCAAATGCATGTATGCATTTAAAGGGTTATAAGTACACGTGTTTCTTTAGTTATCTTTAGAAAAAAAAACAAATAAAAAAATCATACTGATTATTTCGCAAGTAATGATTCATTGTTCATTGCATTAATACCAAAGTAATGAGTGTAACAATGATTTTATCTAAAACATTAATATACATGTATTGCGTACGTATAAATGTTTCTCGGTCATTTAAATCGATAAATTCTCGAATCGATATTCAAGTCACGTTATACAATCAGACATTTCACTTCGTCCCTTTGCAATATCATAGCTATCGTAAAACTTCCTTTCAATATAAATTATATAAGAAGACCATCGTGGTTGACCATTTGGGTAAAACATATATGTGGTGTATCCCATTAATCGTATTTGATTGCATCACAAGGATGTTCAAATCTGCATGACGATAGACATACATACATTTTACTATTTTTATTAATTTATTATTATTATTTAAATAATTATAAAATAATAGAACATATAATAATTATTATATATATGTATATACACAGTCAGAACTAAAAATGTAAAATAAAGAAAATTATTTGGAAATATTTAATCATCACAAAGTTAAATGACAAATAAAGTATTTATATATTTATAACAATTATTATTATTATTTAAATTGTTATAAAACAAAAGAACATATTACGTGTGCAATTTGGCTTCTGCCATTTTTCTATAAGCCATCTGTAGGAAAATAGTGGAAATAAAGTTAACCAAATATAATTACAATTGTATATATTATATATAGTTAAAACTAAAAATATGAAATAAAGAAAATTATTTAAAAATACCTAATCATCACAAAGGTAGATCCTTTTATATAAAATAATAATAATTATTATTTAAATTGTTATAAAACAAAAGAACATATTAGGTGTGCAACTTGGCTTTTGCCATTTTTCTATAAGCCATCTGTAGGAAAATAATGGAAACAAAGTTAACCTAATATAATAATAATAGATCAGAACTATAAATATTAAATAAATACTAAATAAATAAAATAAAATCTGGAATCAAAGTTACAAAGAAAATTATTTGAAAATACACCTAACCACAAAGTTAGAATGCAAATGAAGTATTCTTCAATTTATTAAACAAAAATCTACAAATGTTAAATAAAGAAAAATTATGAAAAAATATTGAATCATTACAAAGTTAGATTGCAAATGAAGTATCTTTTTCTGACACGTGGAAAATTAAAACGTCTTGTTTTTGCACCGTTATCGATGCATACGTCTAACAACTCTACGTGAAAACAAACTCAAACTCAAACACGATCTTTGTGTTTAACTCTTAGGTTATGCTTGTTGTTGTTGTTGTGTTGAACTGTATTTCTATCAAACAACACAACGCTCATTTGCTTTGCTAATTTGTCCATCAAGATAATCGACGAAGTCGGGAAGCTGAAAGTAAAAGCGTGGCGAAGTGCACACACCGTTGTGCAAGAAGATAAATAGCAAAACGAATTTACGCTACGTGACTATTACTATTTACTAGAAAATATCTATCTATTTAAATCATCGTATATATCCTTAAAGATATTTAATATTCTATCCTATTTAATTTGTTGATTATTATTATTATTATTAGTATTAGTATTAGAATATTAATGGGTGAATAATCTCATCTTGTTTCTTGTTTCTTTTCTTACAGCAAGAACCCAGACCGGATTTAGATGTTAGCAATGGAAGTAGCAATGGTGGTAGGCCTAGATTTGTTCCAGTTACCGCATTGGAGGATGTACAAGCAGTACGTTGTGCCGAATTTCACCCCCATGGTAAATTATATGCCGTGGGATCTAACTCAAAAACCGTACGAATATGCGCTTATCCTAAACTCCATGATGTCAGGTGAGAAATCCTAATTATTTATTTATTTTTTAACTCTTAATAATAAATACTTAAATAATTTAATTATTTTTAATTTATAAAATATAAAATATTAATTATTTAAGTATTTTTAAATTTTAAAATAATTATTTTATTAAATGTAAATAAAAATAATTAATTTAAAATTTACTAATACTTAAATAAGTATTTAGTATTTATTATTTATTATTTAATTAATAATAAATACTGAATACTTACTTTTAATGTTGTGTATCCAATCGATTCAAATTCCAATTGAAATTTTTTTATTTTTTTATTTAAAACAAGAAAAATCAACTTTACGTATAGAAGAATGTCGTTCTTCTTGATCCGATATTAACACTTTTTTGTATTTTTAAAATTTTTTTTATATTTCGACGAACTTTTATCGAATTAAACCAGCAAGGAAACTTGATTCGCACGAATAAATGCAAATACATTTCGATATGTCACGGAGACCGGTTTGAATTATCGATTAAAAAATACACACGAAATATATCGATTAAAAAAATATAAAAAAGACAAAAATCAAACGTTGACGAGTTTAATCGTGCGTCAAAAATCACTGATATAATTTTTCTAACCATCCTTATAAATATTGTATTTATCAATTAATTATTTAAAAGATTATTATAAATGAAAATTAGTCCGGAAGTTGTTCTTTTTTTATTTTTTTTTTTTTGAATTAAAAGAATTCGAATAATTTTGTTAATTTTTTATTTTAAACACATCGTATTTTTTTTTTTTTTTTTCATTATTCATTACTATATGCAAGTATTATTATTCTCTGATATAAGGGGAAGAGGTGGGGGAATGATTAAGCTCGTGTAGAAAGCGTAAACTTTTATATATATACAGTTTATGGTTTATACGTGAATAGAAGACGGTACAACTCAACACAACACAACACAACACAACACAACACACCACAACACAACACAAACTGAGCTATGTGCAAGCTGTTTCGCGCCGGACGAGCGAGAAATCGTAAATTACAAAGTGTGACTTAATCGAATCGCGGAAATAAAAGTTGGACGAACGATATCTCCTTCGACATGCGAAACAGAAAAAAAAAATACAGGATTTCCTTGAGAAAATTTATATTGATTTTTCAACTAACCTGTCATTTAACGATATAATAGGAAGTCGCAATTGTTTAAACACTCTTTACGAGATTATAAACATTACTAGGATGCTTTGGGCCACGCGTTGCAATGGTTTTGTTACAAAATGCTAATTCAATTCAATTCTAAACTATTTAGTAAATTATAACAACACACAAAATAATATTACAATTACAATGGAATAAATAAAATAATTTTACACGAAAAAAATAGAAAAAGTAAGGTTAGTTACGTCATATGTGAATAATTGAATTGTAACACATCGCCACCTATTGAAATTTTTGAGTATCTAAAGACCTAGATAAACTCTAATTAATATTAATATATATTATAATATAATAATTATTATATATTAATAATTAAATCTTTAAATTAACGATAAAAAATAAAAATAATGCACTAAGTTGACACAAAAATCACACAAACTTCATTAAAACCAGTTTAGTACTTTCGATCTTTATTGCAAACCAACCACGTGACACTGAATTTCTAAATACAAAAATATATTAATTGTCATCTTATTAAGTATTTAAAAAAAAATAATTCATTTGATTGATCTTGAACATTTTAAAATATTTCTCTGAATACTTTCCTTACGAAGAAGAATAAGATCAGTCGTGTTGAATATTTGTTTGAAGATTAAAATTAGCAGTGTGAAAGTAGTTTGAAAAGGGGGTATAAAATTACCTTAAGTTAGTTCTTACTTTTCTTCTTTCCCTTTTTTTTTCCACTTTTGATCGTTAACGACGACATCAAAACATTATTTGATCCCACGCTCGAATTACGTACTCACATGAACACACACATATGTATGTATGTGTACATACAAGTTGAGTACGTTTCGTTTTAAAATGAGGGCTGGGAAAGAAGACGAATGCGTTGATGAAAGAAAGTGATGATATGGATTATACACTTCTGAGAACTCAACAGGATTTTCTTTCTCGCGAGATTTTTTTTTTTGCTAAATTAATATACCTAGTGAAATGAATTCTATCAACGTTAAATGAATTATGATTGATTATACCTAACATTTAATAATAAAACGATAATTGATTTTCATTTCATTTTTTTTTTTTTTTTTTTAGAGAGGATCATCAAACTTATCAACCAACTGTTTTATCAAAAAGAACGAAACACCATAAGGGTTCGATATATTGTCTCGCTTGGACACCTGATGGTCAACTTATGGCAACCGGAAGTAACGATAAAACTGTCAAACTTATGCGTTTCAATGCTGAAACCTCAAGTCTCGAAGGTAAACATTGTTTCAATATTTGTTTTTCTTTAATTTTATAAAACCCTAATTCAACTTTAATGAATAAAATTTGTTAATTGTATAGGTCAAGAGGTAGAATTGACGATGCACGATGCTACGGTTCGTGATTTATGCTTTTTGGAGGATACATCGAATAAATCAAGTTTGTTGATAAGCGGTGGTGCTGGTGATTGTAAAATCTACGTTACCGATTGCACAACAGGTACACCTTTCCAAGCACTCAGTGGTCACAGTGGACACATTTTAACCCTTTACAATTGGGGAGGTGCCATGTTTGTCAGTGGATCACAAGATAAAACTGTTAGGTTCTGGGATCTTAGAACACGTGGTTGTGTTAATATGGTTACACCTGCAACGGTACCTGGTAGCAGGGTAAGTTCATTTTATAATCATTGTCTGTAGGTTAATCAAGTTTATTTCTTTTCATCGATAAAATAAATTTCATATTTCACATCACCCCCTACCCCTCAGAGTATTATTTAACTGAAAATTGCAAATGTGTGTGTGTTTAATTGATATATTAGGTTTGCAACTATGTGATTGAGGGTTTCGTCGATAGATGGCTTTTTTAAATCAGCAATGACTTAGTTGTTAACCTAAAATATTGAAATATTTCACAAATTTCATGAAATTTCAATTCAATGATCATTAAGCATGCTTTTGATTTCATTTAAATTGAATTCTTTTTAGTTTTACGTCCGATAAAATATTCGATCTAAGTTGTTTTTTTTTCAATTGCACATCAGCACATCATCTCATAACAATTCCTTTAACACATACATTATATTACTCATACACGTACACATGTATACAGATAGGATCGAATAATTATCGGACGTTTTTTTCAAATGAATATTAAAAGTAATCGGGTATTATTTGTCTGAGTAGTATTTAATGTCGTTTCAGGTTGGCAGTCCAGTTGCTGCATTATGCGTTGATCCTTCAGGACGCTTATTAGTATCAGGACATGAGGATAGTAGTTGCGTACTTTTTGATATTCGTGGTGGTAGAACCGTTCAATGTTTCAAACCTCATGCAGCGGATATACGAAGTATACGTTTTTCACCTTCCGCTTATTATCTACTCACAGGTGGATACGATAATAAGTTGGTACTTACTGATTTGCAAGGTACGTGCTGCATCGAGAACGTTGAACAACAAAAAAATTTTTTTTTTTTTTTTATCTCAATGCAAGTGTTTTTTACCTTTTTTTTCTGGTACACCTGTTTAACAAACCGGTTAATGGAAAAAATTCTTAGAACTCCGTACATTTCTAACTAATTCTAATGTGTGCATAATTTTTTCTTGGGGGGGTTCTTTTTTTAACACCTATTTGCAAAAGAAATGAGTGAAAGTATATTCACGTTTTAGTTATGTTAAGAATTTTTTGTTATAAATAAATAATATCAAACTAATTATTTAATTTATTTGATTATCAGATACTTTCAGTTGAAGTGTTTGATAAAAACAAAATACTTGTTTACTATAAGTTTGATTTATTTAATAAAATCACACTTAATATTTTAATTTAAAATTATTTCATTAAAGTTACTAAATTATATTTAATAATTTAAGTTTTTATATTTAATATTATTTGCATTTAAAATTAATACAATTGTACATAATACTATGCTACAATAACTCAACTTTGTTTTGAAACTTTTACTTAATTAATTTAATTTAATATAATTATATTTAATAATTAATATATTTATAAAGTATAATTATATTTAATAATTATATTTTAATAAT